AGAGGCAGAGGGAGAGAAACTAAGGCTTCAATGCCAGCTATACTCAAACAATATTATTTTCTTTGATCCTTTAAGTTATATGAGCAATAACATTCCATTGTTGGTTTAAATAGCATTTTAAAGAGGGATTTGTGACTTGAAAAGCTAGAATCCTGTATGATACAAATAGCACAAGTGCACTCAGTTCCAAATAGTATAAAGCAGGTTCAGGGCCCAACGAGATCTCAAGAAGTGCGTAAAATCCCCATTTCCCCATCTTTGACTTCAAAAGACATGGAAATAGTCACAAATCTTCAGAACACAAATCCCTAGCTTATTCACAGATGCCTGAGTTTTCTTTACAGAAAGACATGTTTATCAAACTAGAGGTAGAGGCTCACAATATGATACCCCTAGAGAGGAGGGGAATTTATAATTGATTTTGGTAATGTCACTAATGTGTCTTTATTATTCAAACTTGGACATTTTGAAAATTGAAAACAGCACTAATAATAATCATGCCCAGGCAACAGGCATAAACAATAATGTCTCAGGCAAAACAGGATATACAATCACCCTACCCAGGAGAGTGGCAAACAAATTGAGTCTTATGTCAGAAAGCTAATTACCTTCCCCCGACACTGCAGGCTTCTGAAACTTTTAGCGCTAGAATTTCTGTTTACTCATTTTAAAGTAGTTGGGATAAAACTTTCCATCTTAAATGTTTACCATGAGCATCAAACTCGTTATAAAGAATATATAAGCATCCGAATCAAAAGCTATTTGAAATTTATGAAATAAAATTATAAATTGGATTATTTATTATATAATAAAATTTATTGTTACATGTTTTCTGACACACACAAAAAGGATAAGCACTTACTAGCTAAAAACTCTTATGTCAATTAGGTTTTCCTTTTTTTTTTATAATTAGAATCTGATTTTGTTAGAAGGAAGGAAGGAGGGCACTGCAGACATAAGGGAGACAGGAAATGATGGAAGGATAAAAGAGGCCAAGGGCAGCTCTGAACACCTGGCTGGGAGTATACGCCTGTGGTCAGTGGTGACAGTTTTTGAAGGCCGAGGGCACCACCTAGAGGTAACAGAGGTGCATTCAGACTCTCCTGGCAGAGCTTCGGAGTCTGCAATAAGGGCATTTTGTAAGCATTTCCATCAAAGGAATTGGAGCTGGCGGCCTGCCCAGCTCCACAAACAGGAGTGAACCCTGGCCCTACTCCGATCCATTTAAATATTATGTGACCATATCAAGAAAACACTTCTCAGTAAATGTCTGATTTTACTTCCTTCGAATTGGCTAGCGAGAGACTTGGATGAAAGCCCCAGGTCTCCTGTCCGTGAGCTGTGGGATCTTAAGGAATTCACTTAAGCTCTGAAACTGAGGATGTATAAGAATCATTTAACAGAAAACACTGTGTAGTTCAATGTAAACTCAACTTCTAATTACCTTGGAAATATCATTTGCCTTTCAATATCTTTGTTTCCTCAGCTGAAAGACAAAAATAACAATAGTACCTATCTCATGAAGTTATTAGGAGGATTACATGAGATGCTGTATTATTACACTCACCACAGGAGCTGGCTAATGGAATCTGTGATTGAAAGTTGCTTATTTTTCACAACTCCTTGGTCGTTCCCAGTTGTAATCTTCTACAGTTAAAATAATTTCGTCTCAACCAGTTAAATAAAGCAGGATTTAGTTAGCCTTTTAAATATAGGCAGACGTTGGCCTAACAGTGCCAGTGTCCTAATCTTACGGTTCTAAGTCATATTATTCCCTCATTGCCTAACTTGAAAATGGCTACTGTTAATTGTTGAGGCACTGACCTACAGCTCTACATCCTTCTACACCTACCATTGGGAAAAAACCTAACTAAGCAACTAAATTCAAGAAAGTATCCAAGATGAAGCCCACCTACCTCCAAATACATTCTACTTTTCATCATAAGAATGGAAAAGCAAGAATCCAATGTCCTCAGTTCTAATATGACGGCAGTAGATGAGCTATTGGCGGGGGGAATAAAGGAGTGGGGAAAGGAGACAAGGGAGGGAGATGGAGGGGTCACGGTGTGGGACACACCTCTTGGGAGCAGGACACAGTTATAAAAGTGAATTTATCTAACAAAGGCAATCAGTATAACCTAATCCTTGTACCCTCAATGAATCCCACAGAATAAAAAAATTAATTTATTAATTAAAAAAATAATTCCTGCTTTTTAATTCTATGCAGATTGAAGTTTACAATAGAAATGAGATCAGTGCTATGTACAGCCTTAGCTCGGAATTCCAGTAACATATTTCTTCAGATATAACACATACAGGATTTTGAACAATAGTTGTTTGATAGAAGATTCCAAACCTTTTGTGTGTGTGCAGTTGTAGCTTTCAGTTGCTGGGATATAAGGAATTTTAATTATATGGTAAGATATTCTCATCAGAAGTGTCTTAGAATTATCTTTTCTGATCTATAAATGACCATTTGTGGTTTTTTCATCTCTATTTTCCTTATTGAGAATTGTTTGAAGTCCAATACTAATGGAATATCTTAAAATATATTAAAATCCCAGGTCAAAAAATACAAGGACCAAATTCAAGGTATTTGGACATTCTGTCCTTTTTGTTCTAGCCCACACAATCTCATCAATTCACCATTGATTGAGCAAGTATTGTATGTGATCTCATAGAGCTGGGCCTGAGCTATATTCATGATTCCTGGCAAACATAAAGGATTGCTTTTAAAGGGATAAGGAAAAAAAACTAACTAGGAAGGCCTTGCATTATTTTTGTCTCTTCTGTTAAGCTTGCATAGAGCACATGCAGTGGTCACAACTTACTCGAAAACCAGATGAATTTCTGTAGTCCTTCAAAGTGTAGAGACAAAAACTAGCCTTTTAAAATAAACTTTTAAAAAATTCAAGAAACAGTTTATCTCTTAGAAAGAGAAGGGCCTTGTGAATCTGCATTACGATTCATCTAAACCCAATTTTAGGACTCAAAAAAAGGGCAAGAACTGAGGCCTTTAAAACTTCCTAGCACCAAGGATGCATTTTTTTTCTGGGTTAATTCTTTTATTTATTATTTCTGAGATGTGTTTAAAAACTAAATATACAAATTTAAGTATATCACGCAGAATGTGAAAGTAGTTTTAATTTATTTCCTTCTGGTTCAGAGTTATTAGAAACCAACTCCAAATCTCACACTGCCCTAAGAAAGATGAAATGATGGTGGTCGGGGTAGAAAACCTGAATTCATCAAGAAATTAATGGAAGCGTCTAATGAGAGACCCCAGATAACAGAATAGATGCAGATCAAAGCTTGACACAAAGTCAAGAAGGCATAACAATGCAACCAAAGTCACGCCAGCCATATGGCAATACCGTTATTAAAGATCAAGACAACTGACCTTGACTTTTTAGAGACTCCCCACCCCGTATTACAAAAATCATCAATTTTGAAATGTTTATAGGAGCTGTATTTCTAAGGCTGTGATTAATTCAATGATTTAAACAAGCTGTTTATCTTCAGCCTCAGCTTCTACATATTTTAGAAAAGGTATTTTTGTAATACACTATTGGGACCTGATCAAACTAAAGAGCTTCTGCACAGCCAAGAACACAGTAAGTAAGGCAAGCAGACAGCCATCAGAATGGGAGAAGATTTTT